CCATATTTTAATATTCTTGTAGTATATGGCTACACAGGATACTTTGTTAAGCTTAGGAACTACATTCAAAGTGTCCCCAACAACAGTAATGAGTATAACCAATAAGGTGCTCCACTTTATGATAAAACTGAAGTCAGCCTGTATCAAGTTTCTCAAAAATGACAATAACAATATCCAATATCCAATACCCGGCAAAATTCTAACTTTTCACATTTCAAATAATAACCAGAAACATAAAACTACTCCCGAGTAATATCACAATTTTGCGGTGATAACTATGACATATAACAGCTGATTCATGACGTCACGGATCTTATAACCAAGCTGATAACCACACTCGCTTGAACGGATCAGTAAATACCAACCCAAAATGGTAAATACCATTTCATTTGGTTATCCGCTTGAATTTGATTCATGTTGCATTCAGAAAAAATGGCGGCTTGACACTGACATAAGTCAACCAGGTTGTCCTATGGATAGCATGGGACTGTACCTTTTTCAGTATACATTTTGTGCTGAATGGCAAAATACGTACGTGGCTTGCTCGAAACGACAGATAACTCGCTGCAGCGATATCGCGCAGATATGGAAAGGGACAACGTTGCCACATGGTCGGTGACTACCAATAGGAAGGGAAAGAATGCCTAAGGACTAATCGGATAGGCCTTTTTTACTGACTTAATACGTTTAATTTCTCTGATCTGCATGTCAGTAGCTCAATATGGGGAGGATTTAAATTGCGCTGAACTTAATCATTTATGATGATGACGGCATTGCGTATGAAGTGCAAAGTCAACCCATTTGATGCGATTTATTTATTTACTCATCTATCTTTCATATGAACTCTAAAAAACAACAAAAACCTCAAAACAACGTAAGCAAAATACTGCACGTCGAATAATAACGTGAATAATAACGTGAATAACAAGTTTGCCGCGTTTCTGCAAAGAAAACCTTTACCTATATATAAGGATAGTTTAGGATTATTCCTTCCAAAAATAGAACTTGTTTCGTCACAACATCAGTTGTGAATTTCTTTTGTAACCTTCTTCCAAAGGCAGCTCAAAAAGCTATAGTATTTAAATACATTGTTCGAGCTAGCCATGATATCACAGCGATTCTATCAGTCAGTTTGTCGAAGTTTGAAAATACCCTTGATCTCGCATTGCCTACCTTAAAAAAAATGTAGATTTAAGATGGCGGGTGTATATCTTTTGAATGTCTTACAAAAGTGCTTTTCTTGTAATAGGAAGGATTGAAAAGTATGCCAAATATAAATGTTTCAAAATTGTAGTGTTAAAATATAGTTTCAATTCTACTTTAATAACATAGCTTTTTAATTTCACAGAAAACATATGCCTATACTCGGGTACCAAGTACTGTTTTACGTTTTCTTGGCAGTCTGTAACTATTGCAAGAATTATAAATATTTAATAAACAAAACTTCAGAAAAAAAACTTGAATACGACACTGCACTCGCAAAAAGTTATCTAAGCTGCACAACTATAGTTGACGTGCCTTAATTTCTTGGAAAGGTAAATGAATTCTCAAAATAAATTGACATTTCAAAAACGCATATATCCCCACCGGGTACTCGTTCGAGCACCCGGAACTTGAAGATTTGAAAAAAGTAGTACTCGGTGCAACCCTACCAGTAGCTGTGTGTAAAAATCTCTTCAAAACTCGAGCCATAATTTCACAGTTAGGGAGTGGTCAATGATTAGCGGAGAGACAGAGATACAGATACGCCGAAATTAGTAACATGGTTCTTCGAATTGTCAATTGGGATCGAAAGTAACACAATAGATAAACATTGCTTTATTAGTCGCTATCTGCAAATCAAATTAATAATAGAGCACTACTTTATATCGAAATAGCTCTGTAATTCGAAAAAAAGTTATCTGCATATCTCTGCCCTTTCTAATCCCCGCTATTTGTATCTCTAACGTAACTGCCGTAGGATTTTTATTTCTTCTGCCGCCGGAGCATTCTCTCCCCTTTCTTGCAAACCTGACCTTTCGTTTATCGGATGCCGAAATCGCGGATGCCTTGAAATCCATACCGCATTTCCTGTGAGAAAAGCAGTCGAATGGCGTGGCGTGGCGTCAAATCGCGGCCATCTGAGATTATGCGCGTTTATTAATGCAATGCCGAAGCGAGAGAATCACAATGAAAATGCGGTTTTCCATCGCAGTAATAAATACACCGCGAGATCGAAAGGTGGGGAAACCAAGATTATTTTTTTCAAAAATGTTACAAGACGTTATTTATTTATTTATATTTCATATTTCCTACAGGTAAAACCCAATTACAGGAAAAGCTCAAATACATTAACAAAACGAAAATAAAGAGACACATTGAAAACTTAAACTTAGCATCAATTGGCCTAAGTAAGCTAAGAGAACAATCGATGACTTATAACAATTTATGATTGATTCACAGCTGTCATTATAAATATCACACAGATCACAAATAGAGTTCATCAGACTGCACATTGCATAAATTGGAGATTTTAACATTACGTTCGCCCGTCCTGCTTATCATTGACGACTTTCAAGCCTTGGAATGCGGAAATATATTTTTTCAAGTAAATCCGGACAGTCAATTTGATTGTGTATAAGGCCATATAAAAACTATAAGGCAAACATATCACGTCTAATTGATAGTGAATCTAAGTAGAAGAAGTTCAAAAGGCTATGATGACAGAAACCTATTTCTGGATAAGAACAAGTACATTTCAGATAAAAATACTTAATAGCCTTACGTTGAATGCCTTCAATCATTGAAAGTGAATTTTGGTATATTGCAGGCCAGATCAGGGTTGCGTATTCCAGCTTGCTTCTGACAAAAGTAACGAACAAAGTCATTAAAGTACTGACATTGGAGAACTCCTTCCAGTTCTGATACAGAAGCCAAGTAGTCTGGTGGCAGCCGATGAGCTTTTAAGTATGTGTTTTGTTAAACATTAGCCTGCTATCGAAGGTTACTCCAACGTCCTTAAAAGAGTAGCATCTGTCTAGAACAGGAGTTCCCAACGAGGAAGGCGCGCCTTCCAAGGGGGGCATAGAGAGATCTCAAGGGAGGCGGAACGCATTTTAGAAAGAAAAAACAAAGAAAAATAAACAAACAACATTAACAAATCACATTATAATGTAATGTTTAATTTACACGAATAAAATTATAAATTAAATATCATATTCACTTATTCTGTCAACAACTGTTTCAAGACCCGGCGTCGTCAATCGCAGTTTATACTATTTTCGACAAGTCACAACATGAAATCCGCACGCACCCCCGCCGCGCTCCGCTTAACATTCATCACTTAGAAAACAATTGTGCGAAAAATTTGACGTTTCGATGTACATGTTTTGTTGAGAAATATGTTTGAGTGTGTCAAATTATTATGTCTCACTGTCAAAAGGTAAGTTTGTGTATTTATAAACTTCAGTTACCATTTTTATTAAGTTTACTAAATTGTTGATTGAGTGGAGACGCCTTCTTAGATCGGCCATTGGGACTTTTTTACCACATCACAATCAAACCAACGTGGCGAAATAATTTTGAAACAACGAACTTTAAGTACCTAATATTGATTCCAAATGTATTTAAAATTACTATTATAACGTCAACCTGTCTACAAAAATATAAATCTTCCGGTAGCCAATATACAGTTTTTTTTTTTTTTATACTCCAACTACCACGAAGGCCTAAGGCCTAAGCACCCATTGGGTACCGTGGGGCTATGGGGGATACATGGGAAAGGGGGGACGCCACACGGACTCTGGCGAGGGAACACGTGTGCATGCAACATGCACACATTCTGGCTCCGCCTACGAGAACCGCCGGGTGGTACCTCCGCGTTCGACAGTCAGAGACCATCTACCACCTACGGACAATCACAACATCCATAGCCAAGAGAAAAATTTCTCCTGGGACGGGACTCGAACCCGCACAGCGCACGGCGACTGATCAGGAGACCGAAGAGTCTACTACTGCGGCCACCGCTGCTGCCTAAATTGCTGCAATGTGAGGAATTTTTTTTCAAATGTATTTAAAATTACTATTATAACGTCAACCTGTCTACAAAAATATAAATCTTCCGGTGGCCAATATACAGTTGAATTCATTATGTTTATAAGATAAAATAATGGGCATATTATAATTAGTAATTACATGTAGGTATTTTGCTTATTTATTTATTACTTATTTGTTTCATTGTTATAGGTGCAAAATGGCAGCGACAAAAGAAAGTTTTCCGAAGATTACGTTAAGTTTGGATTTACCTTCTGAGAAAAAAAAAGACGAGCCTAAGTGTGTGATATGTATGAAAGTTTTAATTAATGATAGCATGAGGCCCAATTTCCTTGAAAGGCATTTGAAGCAACAACATCCTACTCTGGTTTTGAAAACGAAAGAGTTTTTTTCTTCTAAAGCAGAATCACTAAATCGGATGAGACTTGATAAATGGGGAAGTTATCACACAGGTGATCGCAGCATCTCAAAGCCTCATTTGAAATAGCTTTTATGATAGCAAAGCAAAACAAACCTCATACTATCGGTGAAGAATTAATAAAACCATATGTCCTAAAAGCCACGCAGATAATTTTAGGAGAAGATGCATTTCCCTTTCGAATAACAGAGTCAAACCTAGAATCGATAACATTGCAGCAGACATAAAGTCACAAACAATTAACAAAGTAAAATTATCGCCATTTTTTTCCATTAGTTGCGTTGAATCCACCGACATTGTTAATTGTACACAGTTAATAGTTTAGTTCGTTACATCGGCGGAGATATCATTCAAGAAGAGATTTTGTACTCCCAATCTTTGACAGCAGGTACTACATCTGAAGATATATTTAATTCAATATCAAATTTTGTTGAAAAAAATGATTTGAATTGGAAGAAACTCATTGGACTTTGCACAGATAGCGTACCTGCAATGATAGATAGGTGTACAATCGGGCTTAGCTGAAAAGCTCAAAGAAAAAAGTCCCGCAATGGTTAGTACACATTGGGTTATTCATCGGCAAACTTTGGCTTCCAAAACATTGCCACAGATATTACGCCTGACTTTGGACTCAGCTATAAGGATTGTAAACTACATCAAGAGCAGCGCTTTGAACAGTCGGTTATTTACTTTACTTTGCGAGGATCTCGATCCTGATCACAAAGTTCCTCTGTTCCATACAGAAGTGCGTTGGCTGTCCAAAAGCAACACGTTGGCTCGCCTTTATGAATTGAAAGAAGAGGTAAATCTTTTTCTTGAATTCAAACAAAAACACGATTTCTTGACAATGTTTAAAGATGACACATTTCAATATAGGTTGGCTTATTTAACTGACATATTTGACTTCTTGAATGAGCTAAACTTGAAACTTCAGGGCAGAAACAATACTATAATAAGCAATTATGATTATATTCAGGGGTTAATATCAAAGCTTCAACTTTGGTATCAAAAAATGTTATATCTTTTTCTCGGCTGTTCGAAGCAATTAAGAATAACATACTGGACGCCTGGACGCAAATTTAAAAGCTGACATAAAAACTCATTTGCAAGCGCTGGAAGACGAATTTCGCCAATACTATCGAGACATCAATTCAGAGTCACCAGTAAGGCACATGACAAGAAATCCATTTATTGTCGATGTGTCACAATTACCAGAAGAAGTTCAGGATGAATTTCTAGGAATGAAGGCCGATTCTTCCATGAAAGATGACTTCCACCTTTTAACATTGGAACAATTTTGTTTCAAAAGATTTCCTGTTAATTCGGCAACTTACTTATGTGAGACAGGCTTTTCTGCTCTAGTTTTAATTAAAACTATACAGCGAAATCGTCTTGATGTCGATAGCCACTTGATGATAGCTCTGGCAAAAACAGAACCTAGAATCAACCAACTGGTACAGAACATGCAATCTGAAGTGTCTCATTAGTACCTATTCTTATTTTATTCAAGTTTTTCGATAAAAAACATTTATTAGTTTATTTAAGCTTTTAAAGTGTCTTTATTGAAATTAAAATAGAAATATTTGTACCTATACGTTTTTTGTATTTATTGAAAAAGTATAGTAAAGGAGGGCATGAAAATATAATTTATAGTCCGGGGAGCCGCAACAAAAAAAAAAGGTTGGGAAACCCTGGTCTAGAACCTGACTGTTGATATTATAGTCATCCTATATTAAATAATTAGCCTTTCTTGTATAAGACACAACTTTACATTTAGAAACATTTAAACTAAGACAGTTTCGCGAGCACCATGAAGAAATTAAGTCTAAGTTATCCTGCAACATGAGGTAATCATCAATTGATTCGACCGAAGCGTAAATCTTAACGTCGTCAGCAAAAAAAACAGATGCAAACACTTGAGCTCAAGAGACAAATCGTTAATAAAGATCGGGAATAATAATGGGCCTAGATTCGATCCTTGAGGCACCCCGGATGTGGCCTGAAAATAACTCAACCTATAACCACCATATTTAACAAACAACCTTCTGGCCATCAAGTATAAACTCAGGAGCAACAACAGTCCCTCAGACAGACCTACGGTCCTAAGCTTATCCAGAAGTACATAATGATCAACTTGATCAAATGCCTTCTGTATAATGAGGGTCAAGTTGGTAACCGTAGATCTGCCGCTCATGAATTCATGCTGATTGACAGAGATTAACCGACCAGTAAACCGTATTATAAACTATGATCTCAAACAACTTACCGAAATTGCACAGAATTGCTATTTGTCGGTAGTAGGAAACATCTTCGATATCACCACTCTTATGAATGGGATATATTTTAGTGGTCTTGGTCTGGTTATGAACTACTAACTATTGATCGGAGGGAATTAAAATTTGCGCCTATGGCACAAAATGGACCAATGAGAAGTCATCTTAGTAGTAGCGAAGTAATGAATCTAATGAAATTGATCAATTTCCCTTTAAGATGTATCTCAAACTAACGAACAATTTATCCGATTTGTGTAAAACCAGTCACAAATTCCCATATTCAAATCAAAAATGCCTCATAAAATACCTGGTTTAGCTACAAGTACCGAGTTTTTCATTTGTGTTGACGCAAATTCCATCGATTAAAAAGGATTTGTGGCCTACTCCAAACATAGATCAAACCTGATATAATGGATTGACATGACGCCATTACTGAGCATTTTATTGAAAATTAGAGTGTCTCACTGTTGCTGCACAATCCTTGATAAATTGTTTGAACATAAATAAAATTACATAATGCTTATTCTTTAACAAACATCGAGTAGATAATCAATTTACTCACGTACCGTTAACAGGAAGATGCCACAGACTCTGCGGAACGGTAGGATGACTACACGACCACGCTGTCATCTGTATGCATTGAACAACTAAACATACTGCTTTTGCCTATCCCACCAAAGTCGTCCAACCATGAACAACTGTTTCGTGCTTTTTATGAACTCATCAGCATGGTTTAGGCTTGGTCTCTAGGACAACGAGCGAGAGCATAGCAAGTATCATGTATCCGAGGTATGAGATCTATCAAAATAAAACAGCACAAAGCGTCACCTATTACACTGTTTGGCATTCTGAAAATATGTGTCGTTCTCCGAAATTTCTCCCGGTTTTTCGCGTCTACTACGTTGTACTGAAATCTAATATGCAGTAAGTTTCTCCCCATCGCGCAAAAGTTTTTAGATAAGGGAGAATATAAAATATGAAAATCCCTACTACTAGCTTTTCGGTAGACCATATCCGCTTATTTACCTTTCCTTCTGTCTGTTTCCAAGACCAGACCTATACCGTAGTGACCATTGCTAAGGAGCATCAAACAACATTGTAGAGAGTTAGTCTAAGCCACACGGACAGAAAGCAAACATATCGAATTCCTTAACTGAACCCAAAGCCATCGCGTATCCGAGACACAACGCTTTGACAAACGATCTACCGGCGCCTATACATCAATCGGGCTATCGCGGTAGGCTTCGACTATGTCTCACCTAGATTACATCATAGGATCACAGTGTGCCTTGCCCGCACCGCTAGCAGTTGTTTAACAGCCGCAAAATCGTGGCATCTGGCCAGGAGGCGAACCGATTTTAGATTTCATATTTGCAACTGCTGGTTTACTACAAATGAAACAGCCGCGTCCAACGGTTTGAAGGTATATTTGGTGAGGGAGTTGGCTAAATAGTGACCAAAGGTGATTGATTTTATATGCAGCAGGTTAAAAAAGTGGCTAACTCTAAATAGAGACGTCACATTAGTAAAACATTTTTATTTGCAATATTTGTTGAAAGCAAGATATTCGCTTAATCGTTTCTGAATGAGTAGCTATTAATTCCCGCAGAACTTTTGTAGTAAGTAAAATTTATAAAAAATGGTGCAAATTTTCAGGCGTCCTAAGCCCTAAAGCAACCAATAAAATAAAAGATCCAGAAACATAACTTGTATTTTTGTTATATTGGACTCAAGAAAAATGTAAACACTGTTTCCTCTTTTTTAACAACTTTCTCCACCACTGATCACATCCTTGGTGTTCGTTGCCCATCAGCTGGCGATTGTCCTTAACAGGACGCCATTTTAATTGGAACAATTGAATAAATCATCGCCTGCTTTTCAACGACGGGGCTAATCAAGAAGGCCTCGGCGTCGTGCGCGTCGATTGTTTTGATCCAGCAGCCGCACGTCGTGGCCTGCTTCGATCATGAGGTGAACGCCATCCAACTGATATTTTTAGATAAGCTCTACTAGGAACTGTAGATTGAATCAGCGGAAGGCAGAATGTTTGGGGTCAGATATCTACTCTCTACATAACAATAGATTGATGAATTAGCTTTGAAACGTGCCGGTATTCGGTTCTTCCATATCTAATATAATAATATATAACTCTATCAGGTTAGGGAATCGTCACGCTTTTAGGTCATTATAATGAGTATCAAACCATATTCATAAGCTTCACCTTGTCAGGAGTAGATGGAAGCTATCAATTAGCATAGGATGCTTAGTGAATGGAAACAAGTATTAATTGAAATTACTGCTCATCCACTAAAAATCCTCCTTTTCGACGAATAATGTATAAAACAATAGTATTTCAACTAACCATACATGTGATACCAAATTAAGGCTTACGAAACGAATAACCCCAAACCGTAATCAGCTTTTTTGTTTTTTGAGAAAAAGTACCTACATTTTGCGTTTATAAACAGCCAGTATAGATGATATTCAAAAGCGCTTAAATTGCAAAAAACAATGGAATATAAGGCTTATTGTGACGAAAAATTTGCTATTTCATCTGCGCCAGTGGTTGACTTACAAACTAACAAAGTTGTGCGTTTCCTTAAATGAAATATCTCGTACCTCCAGGGGTAGCGATCAAAACCTTATAGTACGCTAATTTCTGGGAGTTAAGTGTATAGTGGAGGGAACGCTTGCGTTGAACAAAAAGAACCAAACATTATTAAATGATAATAATAGTTTATTATTCAACTGACAAATATTTATAGGATTCGTCATAAAAAAATAAATCATTGTGTACACTCACACACACACATCTAAAATGAATTTTACATGTGAATAAAAAAACAAACTCACAACAACAGTAATAACCAACAACATTCAGGATAATATTTAAAATATTGATTAAATCAGTAACAAAAAATACTTTTAAATGAGATAGTTTTTCAACCTACTAAAAATGCGCAATGATTCTGCTCTGGAAGCTTGTTTAATATTTTTGGTCTCAAGATGTGGGGAGAGCGGTTGCCAACTTTACATCTAGCAAATGGAGTATGAATATCTAGTTGCTGGCGTATTTCAATATCGTGTACGTTCCTATTCAAATTATAATTTGTTTTATTGACATACGCGGAGATAGCTATTTCATAAATAAATAGGCCAGGCAATGTCAAGATCTTCAGTTTCTTAACCAGCTCCCTACAGCTGTGTGTGCTGTTGACAGGTTGACACCCACCATACACCGAACAACTCTTTTTGGCCCAAAGATACTCTTTGAGCATTCACAGACAGTAAAACATAAAATCAATAACTGGCTTTCGGTAAATATCGATTTAATATTTTCAATCAAGTAGGATTGTGAATTTATTTTGTTTGATATATAATCACTATGGTGAAATCTGTCATGTGTGCTCAACTGGGGCCTGACAGCTGCAAACATTTCGCTGTCGTTATACGAGTATATATATATATACGAGCCCCTTCCCACTTCAGTTGGCCCAACTATTTAAATCTTAGTTTTTTTCTTATCAAACACAAATAATAAAAATGTAGCAGTGTGTTATAGGTTTTAAATATTAACAATGAATATTTTGATAACATATAGTAGAAAACACCAACTTTATCACTTCCTAATCAAATTTGCAGCATAAAAATAACAGATGTTGCAATTACAGCAATTACCTATTTTCATTTCAATGCAAAATAAGTCTATAACGGATAGGTGGCTGTAAAAAATAAAATCCATGACACTTATTAGTGAGAAAATTCGGTTACTGATAATTAATTTTTTTAATTCTGGGAAATCAAACTCAGAAATTGCAACTTTGTTAGACTTATCGCGGTACAGTGAGATAAATATTGTTAGAAGATATAACGTAACTGGTTCGGTTAATATTAAGCCACGATATGTGAAAAAAAGTAATATCACAAATGCCGACCGAAGAGCATTAAGAAGAATAATCGTGAAAAACAGGCGTGCCAATTATTTACAATTAAGTGCTCTGTGGAGTGACGCTGTTGGAAGGAGAATTTCGAGGTCCACAACTCATAGAGAGGCCCACAAACTGGGATTTAGTACTTGCAAGGTAAGTTTTCTTATAAGAAAAAGTGAAGTAGAAACCCTAAAGTTGCACAACTTTGTGGCACCGAACTGAGACAAAAGCTTCAAGAAATATGGGATTGTTTTACACCAAATTTTTGCCAAAACTTGGTTAACACTATGCCCCAAAGAATTTCAGCCGTATTAAAAAATAAAGGTGATGTTACCCAATGGTAATCTTTCAATTGTTGCTTTGTTAACTTCGCGCATTTATTCGCACATTGTTTATTTGTTCAGATGTTCTATTAGTTATAGGTCTAAGTGATTTCAAATATGTATTTTTTACGACTAGAGTGTATCTAAAATGTTTTTGAGTAAATAAATTGTTTTAGAAGTAAATAGTTTCGTCATGTTTAGTTTATAAAGGCATATTTTGGTACAAATCTTGAAGTGGGCCAACTGAAGTGGGAAGGGGCTCGTATAATTGATTATTAATTGGGAAATTTTCAAACTTTAGGCTTTAGTCAACCCTTTTAACGGTAATCTCGAGCTTTCGGCACGCTATGGTGCTATAATCAGGAGCTGAAACACAAATATAAAGCTAGCAACCAATACGGAAAAGATTTAAATTTTCAGACAACTTACTCGTCGCTGAGGTTGCAGCCAAATGGTGTTTTAAAACGAAAGCGTGGATGAAAGCACTTGTTGCAATTCTAGAACCAAAAGGACGGACACGTTGGGTTTGTTGTTACCGACGGAAATCATAGTTAGGTGTTACTATTATATACCAATGCACTCGAACAAATCAAAAATTATCGAACATTTTCAAAATATTAAAAAGTAGTACTGCATTTTGGGGGGAAAACAGCAGAGTCCCTTCTAACCTCCTACGCCTGTTTCACGTGGAGACAATGACCGAAACCGGAAGAGTGATGGGTCGAAAGATGACAGATAGACTGTCGCGAAGGAATGTGGAAATGTAAAAATCATTGAAAAATTTCAGGTATAGTGTATACAAGGGATACTTGGAAAAAACTTTTCATATTTCCCAAATTACTGGATTAGTTTTGTTTTGGAAAAGTGTTATTAATATGAGTGTAAGATGGTGATACACGCTTGAAAAGATTTTTTTACTACTACTAAAAATCGGTGGAAAATCAAATAGGTCTTTTTAAGGACCGGACACATCTTTCAAGAAAAACGTTTTGAAAACGCGACCATAACGGTTTTGACTTTTGCACTAACTTATTTTAGGTTATTCGTTTGTTTCTGTCCCAGAATATCATGATATTACACGTGAGATTTTATTACTACCCTATAATATTATAATAATTATGACACAATTTGCACCCTTAAAAGATCTATGTAAATAAGAGAAGTGGGTAAAGAGCATAGTATTTCCTGAATTGTTCATATTCCAAAGCCGACTGTGTCGTGTGTTAAAATATGAGGTATACTTACGACTCCTATCGGTTATAAAAAGCGTAAGAATTTTGGCTTGAAAGACTAATTTAAAAATCGCTTTAAAATAAATGAATCATGAAATACCAGAATTTTGTAGAAGAAGGCTTTAGCTTCACCTTAGATACGTAGCAACCTCAAAAACAATAGTTTTTAGCGAGTTTTTAATCATTGAAGATGAACATTTTTAGGGTTGTATAGACAATAATGGCTTATAACTCGGAAACGACTAACTTTAGAAAAAAGTCCTTGTTCAAAATGATCTGAGAAACCAGAAAAAAATTGTCGCAGTGAATTTTTTTTTGTAATGATTTAAGGGTGAAGGGGATTGAAAAAGCGATTAAAAGGTGACAGGGCAAAATCCGGATCATTATTCTTTGACCTCAGTTGATATCTGCTCATAAAGTGCGGTTCTCACATTTTGCACACTGAATTCCATCCAGCGCCTGCTCTGATGAATATTTTTACAACAATTCTACTGCTCCTACTCAGTATGTCGGCACATAATTGATCAAGGATTCCATCATACATTTTTCCAATCCCATACTATAAATATTCACATTATGCATGTCTATATTTGCACACACGGCGTTCGATTTCTTTAAATAGTCAATACGCCAAGGTTAGTAGCGCATTTGAATCAAGATTGAGTGCGCTTTCGTGGAAAAAAGGAAAAGGAATATCTTGAATATCCGATATAGTTCGCACGACTCGAAAGAAAAACATTCCTCTGAAGACGGCGAATGGTAATACGAA